GTACAATTTATTTCACTATAACCTGAGGTCGAGTTCGAACCTTCATAAGAGTTACTTTACACCGAGGTCGAATTCGAACCTTGGTACGATTTATTTCACTCTAACCTAAGGTCGAGTTCGAACCTTCGTAAGAGTTACTTTACACTAAACTGAGGTCGAGTTCGAACCTTAGTACGATTTGTTTCACTCTAACCCGAGATCAAGTACGAACCTCGGCAAACATTATTTTTATCTTACACAGAGGTCGAGTTCGAATCTTGGTCTGAATCACTCTATCTCACCAAGGGTCGAGTTCAAACCTCAATACGAATTACTTACATCAGGCCAAGTTTGAGCCCCGGAAAAGCACAAAAAACACAAGTGCATAAGCAGAAGGTCAAATAGAACCACCAAAAGCGCAAGGATAAAATCTCGAAAGAAAAAATATCATATACACAACAATGTTTGCAGAGTTCAACACCTGAATCCAAGGAAAAAAATCAAGCAGAACAAAATAAACTAAGCTATTACAAAAACCGGCCTAGGTAGAGGCATTTTCGCTCAAGCTGTCCTGGAGGTCGTCCTCTTTCACCAGTTTCCCGAAGCGCACCTCTTTCTCCACATGCATGGCAGAGAGGTCGACCCTTGGCTCAAGTATCCTCGCCTGGCGAGCCGCCTTGAGGAATCCTCTCTTGTGTTCGAACAGGACAGCTCGCTCAGTTCCCTCGAGCTTCTTCTCCAGCTCCGCCTTCTCCGCATCCATCTTCGAGAGGTCCACCCTGAGTGCGGCAACCTCCTCTTATTTCCCGCCGAGAAGCACCTCGTCACAAAGACGCTTCTCAGCCTCCACCACGAGATCAGCCTTTAGGGAAGTTACCTCGTCTTCTAAGGCACGCACCCGGCCTCGGGAAGAGTTGGCGAGCTCTTACAGCAAACTCACTTGGGCAGTGTGAGTCTCATTAGACCTCAGAGCAATCTATAAGGACTTCTGAACCCTCTCCATCTCCCTCCTGGTGGCTTGGAGCTCGACCTCATTCTGCAGCTTCGCATCACCGAGGGCAGCCGCCAAAGCCCTGTTCTTCTCCTTCAAGGTCTTGGTCTCTTCCTCCAAGGGCTGGACTCGGCCCCTTAGCTTCGCCAGGTCCTCTTGCTGCTTAGCCCATTTACGCTTCCAATAGTCCATGATGGCCATTGTCCTTTGCAGGAATACCTCAGCAGAATCAAGGCCCTCTACTGGCCCGACCGACTCGATCATAGCCTGATCAGCCGTGCTCAACGAGTCCTTGGAGAAGAATTTCTCCGAGGTCACCCCCGCACTCCAAAGAGAATCCAAATCCTTCGAAGCGCTCACATAGTCCAGCCGCACTCGGGAGCGATCTTTTCCATAAAGATGGGCAAGGAATTGGCTTCTGGGGGGCCCCTTCGAAGAACTGGACGGTGGTGCCGAGGTCGCGGGAGTGCGTGTCGGGACCTCAGAATTCGGTCCCTTCCCATAGGCCGCAACAGAAGTAGAGGCAGGCCCCCCTGCTCAGCAACGTAGGCACCCGCCCTTAGTACCCCCGAACTCGAAGCCACCGGGACCTCGGCAGCATGCCTCACCTACAAAAAATACAAATTTCCCCCTAAGTTAGCAAGCAAGAAAATAGCAGTATAGAATAAAAACTACAAAGAAAGGCACCAACCTCGGTGGCCTGGGCAACCTGCTCGGCAGCCTGGGCGATCTCCTCGCGACCACCTGAGGAGCTCCCTCGGGTGGAGAACCCCCAGTTAGGTCGACCACATCAGCATCGGCAACCTTGGAGGTCACCTCCTCAGCATCTCGAGGGGCAGAGGTCCCCCTGACCTCTTTTTCTCCCCTCTTTCTTTTTCTTCGGGTCTCCAGGGGGGCCACCTCCTCCTCTAGAGGCTCAGGGACCTCAATCTCGGCGATGTTGTAGCGCGATTTCAACTCGCGCCACTTATTTTTTCCCATTATACCTGCAAGTACAACAATCAAATATGTCAGTAAAAGCAAAAATTCCCAAGCCCTTAACAGCCAAAAAGACAAGATACTCACTCTCTAGGCCCTCTCCTTGTACACCGAGTTAGCAAGCGAAAAAATGCTCTCAACTGAAGGTTGCCCGACCCGTGAAACCTGGCTGGAGCTTGCCGCCAATAAAGAGGGAACCTCGGCAGCCCGCTGAAGTAAAATCCCCCATCTTCCAGCGGGTTCACACCCACGAGCCGAACCCAGAAAAACTCTTGCTTGAAATTTTTGTAAGACTAGGAGTAAAGAGAAAATAATCCCCCAGCCTTACTGCCGTTCAAAGAAGCCCAACCATAAGTGTAACGTAGAAAAAAAAATATGGCTGATTTAGTAGCCTAGAACGGGCTGTTCGCAATCTGGAATGGGCCGTTCCAAGCTATTAAATTAAACTGAAATTTGTAGTGGAGAACGGGCCGTTCTGGTTGGAGAACGGGCTGTTCTGGATGGAGAACGAGCCGTTCTGATTTCAGAACAGACCGTTCTGCAAGTGATTTTTGTGTGTGTTGAGGGAATTCAGAATGGGCCGTTCCGGTATCGGTACAGGCCGTTCTGGCCATTTCGAAAAGTCTATAAATAGGGGTTGGGGGCCTTCAGGAGAGTGTGAGTTTTTAGAGAGAAGTTTTAGAGAGAAGGTCTCTAGGTCTGTGAGCTCCTTTCTCTCCCAAATTTCTCTATATGATTCCTTTTCTCCTCTAGACCACTAATGCCTTCTGTCTTTTCTTGAAATTCAGATTAGAAAGCTTACTTTGGGAGGATTGAAGTTCCGGGTTGAGCTTTGGAAGGGAATTCTATTTCGTCACATTTGTTGGCTATTTTGAGCCGATCTTCAGGTAAGGGAAGCTAGAATGTTTGTTATTAAGTTGCATGTGAGTTTAGAAACTCAATTGATGCATGAAAGTTGAGGATCCATGGCTGGATCGGAGAATTTGCTCATTTTTCGGGGTCTTGGAAAAAATGGAGTTTTTGGTGAATTTGAGGTGCATGTTGATTTTGAGTTTGTTCTATGTTATATGGAGCCTATGCATTGTGTTTTGTGTTTGCATGTGGCTAGATGTGTTGGTTTGGATGAGAGTTTTGAAACTCTCTGTCTAGGATTTAGGCTGGGCGCAGGTTGAGCGCACCGGGCATGAAAGAGCTTAGGGCTCTCGAGTTGGATGTTGGGCTAGGCATGATTTGGCAGCGTCAGGCGTGGAGACTTTTAAGAGTCTCTGTCTCAAGGACACCGAGCGTGAGTTGAACGCAGCATACCAGTTATGAGAAATGTGAACTTCTGTATGGCGCCACATGCATGCATTTATGAGTCGAGTCCACGGCATTATTTCATGATATGTGAATGTATAAGTATTCTAATGTATTTATAACTTGACAGTTATGATTGGTTATGTATAACTTGTGTGGTATTTGTTATGACTGTGTATGTTGCCTAACATTTATTTCTACATCTGAATTAGAGTGAGATGTTTCTCACTACCTTGTTGCTCTTGTATATGTTTAAATTATGTTTCAGGTGATCATCATCATGAGGATGTTCGTAATGAGGCTTAAGGCTTCAGTTGGGCATGCTTTGATAGGATGTGACATCGGGGCATAGCTTGGCTTAGTTTAGGATGTTATTTTCATTAAATTGTATTAAAAACCTTAGTTTATTTTCTTTTGTAATTTCTGCATTGGAGTTATGGTTTATGAGTTATGAATGTGAATCTTCCACCTTATGATATTTGAGACATTTGTTTTATCCATGAAATATGTTATCAACTGTGAAAGATTTTATTTACTCAAAAAAATTATTATTGTTTACATTTATTGTGTATTAATATTAGGGGTAGAGGGTGTCACATTTAGTGGTATCAGAGCAGGTTGATCCAATCGGCCGTGAGTTATGAGTTTACTATACTTGTTTGGTAGATGAAGTCTATAGTTGTAGTGATTGAATCCAAAGAGGTTGTATGTTGAGAATTGGAGTTTTGAATGTTCTTGATAAAAGACTAAAGTGTGCATCTTTGTTATTTTTATTACATGATTTGGAAGTTATAAATTATTCCTAACTAGGAGGCGCTGCCACCTTTACTGGAATTAATTTATATTTCCTTTATTACTTTTTAATTTTTCTTTTATATGATTTCTTGAGTTTTGATGCTTATATGTTGACTTTTTATGGTCTAGGTTGCATGTGGAACTTATTGGTATACTAGTGTGATGATTGATTATGTTTATTAATTGTAATATTTTCTTAGATTATGGTTGGTAGAAATGATCATGTGATTGCTGATGCTCTTCAAGCATTAGCACAAGCTATGAATAATAACAATAGGGTTGGAATCGCTCCTAACTAGTTGGAGCAATTTCAGCAAAATCACCCACCTACCTTCAAAGGAGGATATGACCCAGATGCTGCTATGAATTGGCTAGCGGAGATCGACAAGATCTTCAATGCCATGGATTGTCCCCTCACTTAGAAGGTGAAGTTGGCCACCTTCATGTTGACTACTGATGCCCACTTTTGGTGGGAGGGAGCACTTCGAATGATGATTGATGGAGGGGTGCACTTGAATTGGGACAACTTAAAGAGGGCCTTTCTTGAGAAGTATTTCCCGGATGATGTGAGGAGTCGGAAAGAAATGAAATTCCTTGAGCTGAATCAAGGGAACGACATAGTGGCAGAATATGCTGCCAAATTTGATGCTTTGGTTTACTATTGTACACATTACCATGGTGAGAATGGTGAAAGAGCTAAATGTATAAAATTTGTAAACGGTCTACGTCCTGAGGTGAAGACTACAATTAACTATTAGGAGATTTATCACTTCCCTACTTTGGTAAATAAGTGCAGCATTTACGATCGTGACAATCGTGCCCGTGCTACTTTCTATAAAGGCGTTGGAGGTCTTATCCGTGCTGTGAGTTCTAGTACTTCGAGTAGGAGTAAGCCTTACTCCGCTCCTACTAGAGAAAGGAAGATTTGCTTTTGCAAAATCAGTTTACGAAATGAAGTTCATTTTTCTGTGCTGCCAAGATTTTCCCCAACCTATTACTGTGATTGCTGCTAGGTTCAAACTGTTTTTGCACACAGGAATCGAACATGGAGTTGCAAAATTTAATAGTAAATAGTCTCGTAAGTAATTATCAATTATCATTGCCTTACATGCCCTTTTTCCTCTACAGGTAGTTGGCACCATAATATCTGCAGTGGTGCATTTACTAACAGCATGGTGGCTCATGAGCACTGTTCCAAATATCTGTGAGAGAGAGTTGCTTCCAGCAGGTAGTCCATGGACTTGCCCTGGTGATCACGTGTTCTACGACGCATCTGTAATATGGGGTTTGATAGGGCCACGTAGAATTTTTGGAGATCTTGGACACTACTCAGCCATAAACTGGTTTTTCTTGGCTGGAGCCATTGCACCTTTCTTAGTTTGGCTAGCGCACAAGGCCTTCCCTCATAAACAGTGGATTAGGCTCATCACTGTGCCTGTGCTCTTGGGAGCATTAGCTGACATGCCTCCAGCCACAGCAGTGAACTACACCAGTTGGGTCCTTGTTGGCTTTGTATCAGGGTTTGTTGTATATCGTTACTATCGTGGATGGTGGAGCCGACACAACTATGTGTTGTCTGGTGCACTTGATGCAGGGTTAGCCTTCATGGGGGTTTTGCTCTACTTGTGTTTGGGGATGGAGCACATTAGCCTTAACTGGTGGGGCAGTGACCCAGATGGGTGCCCTTTAGCTTCATGTCCAACTGCTCCAGGTGTCATATCTAAAGGGTGTCCTCTTTACTAAGTTTGATGGTGGTGGTGTAGCCATGGTTTTAAATTGTTGATGAGGTTGTATTGGGAAATGCAAAATTGCCGGCAAATAAGGTTTATGTAGCCACTAGCCACAATTGTTATTGCCATGAGGATCCAAGATTGTTTTGGACTTGTAGCAATAGCAGAGATGCAGATAAATGCTTGCATAATTCTTTCTTCTGTATATTATACATTTTGTAAAATATTTGATTTATTTGGATGATGTAAATCAAGACCTCAAAGGGATGGCTTATTCTTTACGGAACATTAACGAAGAATTAAAGTAATAGTAATAATAATAATATAAAAAAAAAAGTAATGGTTTTTTTCCTTTTTAAACAGAATAATGGTTTAATGACATAATAAATGCAAATAGACAAATAAGATTATGCCGCACTATATTGGATTATGATTGCAAGCTAATGGAACTTATAATCTATCATGGGTGGTGTGATTTCTTGTAATTCAATATATAACTTTGAATTCAAAGATAATTTATTTATTTTTAATTTTAAATTTATATATTTATTTTAGATGAATACCTAAATAATTTTAAATAAAATCGTTATTTAATTATTATTTAAATAAATAAATATTTTAATAAAAATAACATGTAATCGACTATATATATATATATATTTGATTATATTATTTATATTTACTTATTTTTAAGCATAAATAAAATATTAATAAAAATAATAGGATTCCTGTGCGGACCTTATGAGGAATAATTACGACATGACTATGTGAAATATGAAAAAATGACATGAGACATGAGAATGGGCTATTGAGATAAGCTATGACTATGAGAATATGAAAAATGATGACATGAGGTAATAAATGAAATTCCGTAATAAGTGAAATGTTGAGTCAATGAAATAGTAAATGTATGACATGCATCATATACATATATAACTCCAGGTGTGTCGCTTAGGCCGCATACCATTGATGTAACAAGCTATGTGATGAAATGACTTATTATAGGTGTGTCGCTTATGCCACATACCAATGATGAAATGAAGTATTTCTAGGTGTACCTTGGGTCACCAGTGATGTATTCATGAATGAACGTGCCCAGGTATGTTGCTGTGCAGCATACCAGTTATGAGAAATGTGAACTTCTGTATGGCGCCACATGCATGCATTTATGAGTCGAGTCCACGGCATTATTTCATGATATGTGAATGTATAAGTATTCTAATGTATTTATAACTTGACAGTTATGATTGGTTATGTATAACTTGTGTGGTATTTGTTATGACTGTGTATGTTGCCTAACATTTATTTCTACATCTGAATTAGAGTGAGATGTTTCTCACTACCTTGTTGCTCTTGTATATGTTTAAATTATGTTTCAGGTGATCATCATCATGAGGATGTTCGTAATGAGGCTTAAGGCTTCAGTTGGGCATGCTTTGATAGGATGTGACATCGGGGCATAGCTTGGCTTAGTTTAGGATGTTATTTTCATTAAATACGGTGAAGGTGAGGGTGAAATGAAGAAGGCGAAGAGAGGATGAACAAACCTTATGTTCGAGATGCTGAAGCACATGGATGCGCAGACGCTGGGGATGGCGGGTTCGTGAGGCTTTTCGTGAACTAAAAATTGTTTTTTTTTATTTATTTTAAATTGATTTTATAAGTTTTTTTTTAATTTCATAAAAGAATTAAGGCACATATAATTAACTAAATAAAAAATTATTGAACGTTCTGGCGGTTTAAAACTACCAGAAAGTGCCAACACTGTAACGATTACCATTCCTGCGGTTTAAAATTGCCAGAAAGTATCAATAATTTGTAGCATTTGTCATCCTTTCCACAAATGTAATATTTTTTTGCGGTTTATGGAAACCGCAAAAAAAAAACTGCCAATAATAACTTATTTTTTTTAGTGATAATGAGAAAATAATTCCATTAATTATGCAGGAATCAAACTGATTTTTTTATAACTTTTCATTAATTCTCTTTTTCCAAACGAACAAATTACCATTATATAAGGTCAACCATGAAAGCTTGTCCATCATACTAGCAAACTACTAGAGAAAGATATTATACAAAAAAAAAAGCAATTGCAGAGAACATGCACTAGTGCAAAAAAGGGTATTTACGTCACCCAATTTACGTCGCAAACCACAAACACCGACGTTGTAAAAATGCGGTGGCAGTTTCGTAAATAAGTGGAGTCTAATTTACGTCGGACCCCTCGTAGACCGACGTAAATTAGGTAATTTACGTCGGACCCCTCGTAGACCGACGTAAATTAGGTAATTTACGTCGGGCCCCTCTACTCTGACGTAAATTTAGGTCGGTCCCACCCTAGTCTGACGTAAATTTACGTCGGACCCCCCCAAGGCCGACGTAAATTTACGTCGCAGCAGCATAGTCCGACGTAATAGTTCCACTATATTCACCCACCTTGCCATTTTCCATTCCCGCGCTCACCGTTTATACGAAATCCTCTGAATTTCTAAGTCGCCCACTTCGTTTATTGCTACATTCAACGTATCCAAGTCTCTAAGTGTCTGCACGTTGGTCGTTTGAGGTTAGTTTGTTGTCCACGTAATTTTTTTGTTTTTTTTTTGCTATTTGTTCCTCTGGAACGGCCCGTTCTCCTTGCAGAATGGGTCGTTCTGCTTAAATTACTGGCTTCATAAATTGTTGATCTGGAACAGCCCGTTCTGATTTCGGTACGGGCTGTTCCAGATGCATT